TACAAAGTGTATCCAAGTTGACCACCCCGTATTTGATTAATGTTCCATTGACAGTCACATATGGATTGAAGTATACCCCAGCCCCCCAATTTTCTTGTACAGAAGTGACGGCTCCCGATCCTAGTGACCCAAGAGCAGAATAGTGGTCCCTATGTTGGTGGAGATTCAGGGAATGCCAATGCTGTGTATACGATACGCCGAATATGAAATCAATCACCTTAGGATTTCCCCCTTGTGCTTTTTCCACAGCGAGTGGTGGTTTCGAGTGGACCGAGGTTATGCTCGATGGGGTTATGGATGGCTTCGATTGAGGAAAGACACCGGATCCGTATGCAAAGGCATATCGAATTGGAGCCCGAAACTGCCATAGAATCTGGCGCAATGCCTCCTTAAACTCGTCATTTATGATTATGTGTTGATTCACACCGAAATTGGAGTGCGGCAGGTCTGCGAATTTGGATATGTTGTAGTTCGGATTGTCCTCCCAGTCTGCCGGAGGCTTCGAGGGGGTGTTTGAGGGTTGGGAGGATAGGTTACGGACGCGAATTGAAGGCCAGTATCTGGTAGTAAAGGCCCCAGGTCGGATGGGAGACCTTGAGCTCTTCACAATCTGCCACTGTACCTGAGAGAATATTAGCAAGGACGCTCGGGACGGGACGGCCAGGGAGCATGCGATCTTACCGGACTCCGGAGTGCCATTGTATTGTACTGAAGGTTCTACCGCATGTAAGAGATTCTCCTGGGTTGTGCAGCATTTGCTGCAAAATTGTCACCGCTTGTGCCGGTACTCAAAAGCCATGTGTCAGCGGTGGAGTGGTGTCGCTGAAAGCAAACTTTGAGCTCGATATTTCGCGGGACAGCTGTTCAAGCGAGTGCCGATCGGATCAGCCAGCCGCAACCCTTAAACTCAAAATCAACCATCTGTAGACAATGCATCTAGGACATTTATATTTCCCATCTGCATACCATACCATCCCATCTACTCAACTTCAGAGAAATCATAAGGTCCAATACTTAGTAAATGTGATGCCGCAATATTAGGGGTCGTGGACAGCTCGGGCTTTAAGTAAGTAGCCCGCACTCAAGTCTGCGACCGAACTTTGGCTGCCGCGTGCTTTGGGATAGAGTCCCCATTATTGCGAGGTCTCATATCAAGTGGCTGACCTTCTGATATCCTATATCTTCACGAATTATTAAGTCTCTAGATACTCGAGTCTGAAGAACCTTTGCATGCTTCGACCTGGCACTTTTGATTGAACTTTAAAAGCTAGCTAGTGAGAGCATGAAGATTTAGGGAGGGGAGATGGAAGATTGTTTTCCAATCCTTTAAAGTCCTTCATTCATTTTGGAATAACACAAGTAAGCAGCCAAATTTGGTACCAGGCATTGGCCATTGTGTCCTTGTGATTTTTGCAAATATAAATCCGTCCACACGCTGTGACAATGATCAGCATAATATTGTGATCTATTTCAGATTTCAAAACCAACGAATGGTAAAGTACAAGTCTAATAATACTAAGCCATAGACAAGGAAACAAACCATATTTGCAAACAATGCCGGATCGATGTTCGAGTCATCTTCACCACCATGGAGGTCCCCAGCCCCACGACCTTCCAACACCCAGTCCTAAGCCACCAACCGTACCCCCTCTGCCTTTGTCCACACTCTTCGCAACACTCGGAGCAATACTGCGTAAAGTATCAGCGCCCATACTCCTTTTATTCTTTAGTGCTATCTCCCGAATTCGATTCCTCTGGTTCGCAATGTACCATTCTGAATCATTATTTGGTACAGGTGCACTGTCAGCACTGTCAATGGATGAATTACCACCTGAAGATGTCATTCGAGTCGGTTGGTACTCTGTACTATAGAAATGATCCGCGCTCATGCTTTTCCGACCGTGGCGAGGACGGTTAGAGCGAGAAGACCAGCGCATTTCGTTCCATATCTTCCGAGCTGGGTCAAGCTCGTCTGTCTCTTCTCTACTTCTTGGAGAAGGAGATTCAGGAAGTAGCTCAGCGACCTCTTTCCTTTGTGGTAGATGGGAAATTCTGACACTTCTTGGAACGGCAGCGTTTACTAATGAAGTAGAGACCGTGTAATTTTTTGTTGGAGAGATGACACTTGCAAACGGCTTCACAGTGTCTTCACTCGAGCCTCTAGCGCCACTTAATATCGAAGCGTTCGGGGTAGATCTTTCCTCGTTGGCCAATGCCTTCATTGCCTCTTCAGCTCTATGCGGGTGGAGGTGCGAGTAAATAAGATTTACGAGAGGATTTCCCTCCAGAGGTGATTTAAAGTTCTGCGATGTTCGCGGGGACCACGCTGATTGGGAATTATGTCTCCTGTAGAAGACCGAGGTTAGCGTGAGATGTCTAGTGTGATGCGAAGTGCTGGGATAATGTAATAGCAAGACTCTCTGGTTATTTGAGACATTCTGGGAATGTTATCCACTGACCTAATGACTGCATTCGCATCAGTTTGTAGCTGGGTAGTATGTGAGCTCATTCCATCAGAGCTCAAAAATGGATTGTCGTAATCTAGAAAGCCAGAATGCTTGTATGTGAGTCGCACCTGTAGGTAAGGAGTAAGTGTATCTGCAAGGTCAAGCTCTAGGTCCGCAATGAGCTCGTCGGAAGATGATTCCTTGCTATGTGAAGAAGTCATCGATCTACAGAGGCTGATCCTCACGAGGATGAGTCGAGTTTCGCCAGCGTATAGTGGATTTGCATCGTGCAAGTCTCCAAGCAACTCAGTGACGAAACAATTGCGCGCTGGTAGGAGATCGATTCGTAGTGAATGGAGATAGCCGTATCGACAAATACCTACAAAAGTTTTAGTTGGGTGTGGGATATTGAAGATTTAGAGAACGGATATTTCCGTTAAACATTTACAAGTTGGGGAAGTACCTGATAATTGGGCATTCATAGGCCCGGAAGAATCACTAGGGACAATAAGTGTTTGATTTCTCCCCACGCTTCTCAGAACTCCAGAGAGCTCAACTGCTACCCACAAAACACAATTGCCGGAGTCGACGCTGGATACCTCGGGAGTGACAGTGATCTGCGGGCACAGAAGTGTGGCACCTTCAGAGTTGAGAAGCGAAACGGTATCGGAGGCAAAAGAGGCATTTGGCGTCTGGTCGTAGTATGAAGAGATTCTAGAATTGATACTCACATCTGTAATGTCAATGCTGCCCGGCTCGAAAGAAGTATTGGCGCTGGAACATTCGCTTCCAGAGGAACTGGGGCCCCAAGGGGTTTCGACTCTGTTTTTGCTACGCGAAAGGCGACGTACCAAGGTATTCTTCGAGGCGGTATCAATTTTCCGGATGGGTTTGGCCTTGTCTGGGCTGCTGCGACCACCAATTGCCCGCAGGAGGAAATTCTTGGATTTAGAAAATCGCCTCTCCGGAATCTTTGGTGATCCGTCCGGATTTCTCAAAGTTTCTGGCAAGTGTTGCATGAGTTCGATATCGGAGGAAGCCATAGAGTCACGGGTGCCTCTAACAGAGTATCTGCCGTCGCTGATATCTCCATGGAGTTCTGTCTGAAGGGTATATTAGCAACCGCGTGAACCACATTGCGGAGACATGGAGGGCTCCAGTGGGAAGCTTACTGTCAGGAATGCGCCGACGCTCATAGTCCTCGGGACTTGTCGACGTGCTTTTGGCGTAACGTCCGGATCATCTTCATCGACATATGGCACTGGAAGACGGTCAGCCCCCCCACGTTCATAAAATGTTCCGCAACTTGACGATTATCGAAAGCGCCGAACCATAAAATGTACGGGGTACTTCACCATTTTCCTTTCCGACCACGTCCGCTATAATGTTTCGGGCATTGGTCCCAGAGGGGCCTGGTGGGCCATCAAAATTTCTACCCATAACACTGCTTTTCCCCTTCCGGAGTTTGCGTACCGTCAATGATCTGTTAATGGCCGGTGGAGGGCTTCCCCTGCTCTTTCCGGATGAACCAGAAAGACGACGTCCTCTGCAGAGAGTTTCGCCGGACGCCGCACTGCCTGAAAGAATAGTCAGTATTATTGTGGTATACTCAGTGGTTGCGGAAGGGCAATATTTGCGAAGATCCCGAGAATAGTTTGGGCTTTCTCGCCGAAGAAAAACAAACACGGAACCAAAAGGTGGAGTGAAATTACTTACCCGAGATGGTTTTGCTACGTTTGATAATTCGAAGGGGTGGCGGTTGGACGATCTCGGATTGGTGAAGCTCCATGTGAGGCGAGCGGAGCGAGTGGGATGCCATATTCGTCTTGGGGTATGGATGGGCGAGGCCCTCTTGTCTTCTTCACTGGGCGATTTGCAGCTCGGATATTGCCCGACAAATCTGCTATATTTTTTGGAAACACTGTGAACGCTTTCAAGGTCGCACCAAGAATCCGCGAAGGTCTGCGAGGATGCTAAACTCGACGTGTGCTTACTACGCTGGGAGTCTCTGGGATATGACCAGGAAGGTCTTTTATCCCAAATTCGACGGTAGTGGTTGGCAATGAAATGGAACCCGCTATTGGTTTTGAGAGCGATATATGCTGCTGAAAGTGCAATAACAATCGGGATGATGACGAGGACACCGAGTGCGGGATTACTACTATTACTCATAGCCAAAAATGGAGAAATGTTGACATGCTAGAATGGAAGTAATGCGCGTTGATGTTTGTTGCGGAAGATGGGAGGACGGCAGTGGTAGCGATGCTATCTCTGGCTTTGAGGGAGCGACGAAGACGGAAAGAGCGATCGAGACGGAAATACAGGCCATACCTAGGTACAGTACAACCACCCTATGACAGCCTAACATACTTCTGAGTCTAGAAATGTTACAGGTATTAGAAAACCGCCTTGGAGAATTTTGGCTTTTTCGTATTGCCTTCCAGTTCATATGGGCGTGATACCCAGCTCCTTATGGCAGGATCTTGTCCACATCGCCACGATTCAAGCTGATGTTGTCTTGAAAAGCAGGTCAAAGTCTACTTTCTTGAACGACTAGACAATGCCTCTTCGTTGTGGTTCCACAGTCTCCAGACTCCTCCGGATATTCTCCTTAATCGACTCAATCTGCTCCATGTCCATATTCAAGAACTGCACCAAGTCGTCCCCCGCCGAAGCTCCAAAGAGTGACGCATCTGCTACACTTGCCTCTACTCCTTTCTTCACTCGTATTTCCCAAACACCATCCCAATTCCATTCTCCAGGTCTCCTAGCAGCCATAGGCGCAGACGTGCCTCCCGCTAACCTCTTATATCCACCCGGCGCATCAGAACTGCTGAGGCTTCCCTCGTCATCACTCAGTCCTTCATGCCGATTCGGCTTTTCCTTGCTCTCGACAACAGGCATAATCTTCCCCAGCTTGACTTGATGTGTCCGCCACGCATGCCACGCGCCAGGGTTGCCAGCAGCCTCCAGTGGGACACTATCCAGCACAGCCTCGTCATCAAACGCGCTCCTTATATAACGTAGCACATCATATGCAGAAACGCCGCTCGTTCTCGCATCCTTATTGCTGACCCCGGGAGTTGAATTGGTACTGTCTCCCGAGCCCGGGCTCTCCACCCCGCCCGCTCCTCGCATCGGAGTCTGCGTACTCCCTCCTCGTGTCCGCTCTGCAGACCTTCTGCTGGCGCGCCCGAACCAGGCCGGGAAGCCGTGTCGCAGCGAGAACCCGCCGGGTGGTAGACGTTCCTCGTCTGTTGCGGATACAGTGCCAGAGTCTTGAATGTCTGTCGTGTACATGTATGTTGTTAGGGGGGTAATTAAAGGGTGAAATATGTCCGTTGAGAAGGTGACAAGTGGTGGTAGGGATGGATATGAGGGCGGGAAAGATATCTGGAATCGGAGTATTGAAGGCGCGTATGGTCCTAAGATATTTGATTAGCATTATAAACTGCAAATATTGGGTTTATTAAAACGCCAAAGGCGATTCTTCTCAAACTACCTTTCCTGACAAAGATTACTCCAGACCAAAGAGTAGGATTCCCTGGGGTGAGGCTCATGAACACGCCATGGGGACACGCATATTTGAGACTAGAGCTGTTATAGTTATAGGTATTAGTACTGTTTAAGGAAAGTATGGAAGGGAATTTGGCGTACAATTCAACTAGTAATTGTTGTTTCCGCACAGCAGAGAGTCCGGACAATCGTTGCGGCACCATATTGTATGAATTTTAGGAGGTTTTGCGTAGGGGAGCTGTATATTAATATATTTGGAGGTTGATAGAGCTCGGAAGCGATCTGGTGGATCACTTCTGCCGTGTCTCGGCAAGCTGAAGCTTGTGCTTCATGCCAACATCATGTCGATAACGGAATACACACATATTCGTCAACCTTCGTTTTTGGCTTCAATCTTGTTTATCATAGTTCTATGCCCAAGGAGTCTAAGTCGTAGCTATCTCTATTCGCTTATCGTTCATTATCCATAACTTCATTCTGTCCAGGGCGCGTCTCCAATGCTAGTGCCTACCATGCATTCCACCCCACCACGCCTGACTGTCTTCTTAGTTGCCCAATCTGCCCTCTATCTTGCTCTTCTCCCTCTCCTTAATGTCCCTCAACTCCTCCTTGGTAGTGTCATATGCGGCAGAAACCTGGTTGAAAGGGTTATCCTCGCTCTTCTCGAACTCCTTCCGGATCTTGTCTTTCTTCTGGTTCTGTCTCAGACCCTGTCCACTTCCATCCTCGTCCATCTCCTTCAATCTTCTCTCCTCGAATGCGGCATATGCAGCTTTGAATCGTCTTTCAGGGTGCTTATCGATCTTCGCAGATGCCGAGTCCGTCGTCAGAGACAGTGCGTCAAGCGCGTTGTCAATACCGGTGGCATTGAGAGCTGACGCCTTCTTGGAAGAAGTACCAGCATCGTCGTCGAGTTGCGACAAATCAAGGCCCTTTGTCTTCTTCACAGCTTGTTTCGCGTTCTTGGGCCCAGGTCGCGCGTCCTTCTCTTCCTCTGCTAGGATTGCATCCTTCTCGGCTTTCTTCCGTGCTTGTTCTGCCTTCTTCGCGGCTTCTGCTTCCCTGTTCGCAGATTTTGTTAGTATCTGTGGGATATGGAGGAACTAGGCGGGTAGTCCCAACAAACGCTGCTAAAGCACTCACTTCTTTGCATTGTTCTTTGCTCCTTTACCCCACTCTTCATCTTCTACGACTGCCTTCTTTTGGTTCTCAACGGCCGCTTTCTGTGCGGCTACATCGGCTTTCTTTGCGTTGCCTGCAACCTTCCTGGAGTTCTCTCCTGCTGCCTTCTTTCCGGCCATGTTTGGTTGATGGTTTGGATCGCAATTCAGATGTTATGTTTGTCAGGGTGAATGTAGAGGAATGTTCGAGTCAATAATATTTCTGTCTTGTATAGAGGACCAAATCAAAGGAACGAAGTCAGATAGATGTCTTCACTGATGACCCCGCCCCCGCCACGAATTGCTCTTTCCACGACGGAGCGGCTTTATTTGCTTCCGAATAACTGCCTCAGGTGTCAATATACTCTAGGTCATGTGACCATGTGGGAAAGGAGCAGCCAGCACGAGTTGATCTTGCTGAATCAAGGGATCGAAGAATAAGTTCTGCCAGAAGGTCCAGGCTATCCAAGCCCTGTATAGTACACGATGGCAAGCTTCCTAGTGGTTATACGTTGTAGTCTTGCCCTTGAGGGTGTATATTTCTGTATGCTTCGTAATCCACATAACCTCTGACCGACTTTCACATTTTCATGGCAATTGGAGGAAGCAACAACCGTGAATACCCGAGTTGGAGACCGCATTGTACTAAAGGGGCATAACATGCCTGGAGACTCAACACCAGTCATGAACAGGCTTGGATTGGTATGCTCCCCTTCCGTGCAAGTATATGTCGTATTGCAGCTGAGGTCATATGATGTTGCCCATCTGCCGCCTAACTGATGCTGATGCCCTGCCCCTGTCAGATCCCCAACGAAAAAGTCAATGCCTCATTATTCTCGTCTTCAGAGGATCCACGTATGTGAGGAGTGACACGTCTCGTCGTAATCAGATCTCGTAATGCACTTACCCATAGTATCTGCCGCTTTTGTGTTGTCATCTCACATTTTTTTGGTGGCACAGCATCGATTCCCGTGTGATACTGGAGGTCAACTCGGCACAAGAGTTTGGTGAGTCACACAGTTTTTATATTCTAGCAGCACAAGAAATCACTTACCAAAGTATTGCCCACCTGTGGATAGAATAAATATCAATAGAAACCTCTTGATAGGGTGCCTACCTACGGAGATAGTTCCGTTTAGCGATCAACGAAATGGTAAATTTCCGAGAAGTCAATAAAGGGAGACGAGATGTCAGGTTACACCGATCTCTACTCCGTACGAGACTGGCAGCTTCCGGCGCACTGGGTACTTGCTGACCCGGGGTTTCACTGCCTGAGCTAATGCAACAAAAGTCGATGCCAGTGGGAGCGCATGCAAGCCTACTCGGTTGAGCGCTGAAAGGCGTCTGCAGATTGACGAACGCCTCCTCCGCAGTAGAGTAACTCTTTTTGACAAGGAGCATTCAAAATGCGGCTACTAATACGGAGACATTTTGTCAGTGACTCGAATGCTGCCCGATGTCACACAGTGTTTAGGGGTCCAGTATTTGGGGGTCCAGTATTTGGGGGCTCCAGTGGCGGATCCTATCGGGTGGACTCCAGCCAATCTGAGATGGATTCGTGGCTGTGGAACCCTCCCAAGGCTGCATATGCACCTCTAGAAGTTGCATGACAGGCTGCAGCTTGCAGAATGCTATTCCTGGTTATACTCGGTGTTGTATAAGAAAAACTTCATCTCATTCATCCAGCAACCGGGCGGCTGTAGAATGGGTAGATTGGGCGCGTGAACACTTCCATGATGCACCATTATTACGCCCAGACTATACAATACTTGCAAAAGACGCTATGCAGCTCGGCGTGCTATTAAGAGCGAATATGTTGCATACTGCTTCAGTTTATTGTGGAATATTCTACCCCTGGAGTCAGATATTATCGGCGATACCGGCCCTTCAAGAACGTCAAGAAGCAATCTCAAGCGGCGAGGCCTGCTGAGCTGATTCAATGATGCAAGGGATGCGACAGACTGAAAAGAGACATGTAGTTTCCACCGACGAAGTCTATCCGCGCTTATAGAGCTGGGGGTGGGAGAAAATACGCCACAAGAATTTGTCGGGTCGGGGAACCGGGAAAGCTTCCACAATCCATGGAAAAGAAGCTTCTCCCAGAGCAGGCCTTCTTTCCTCACCATCTGCCGAAGATCTTATGACGGAAGAACCGCGGGCGCGGGAATAGTATCTTCATCAATCGGAACCTGAATTGACATCTTTTGCTGCCCCGCGGCCCCCGCCAACCTGACGTTAGGCCTCGCTTGCGGCAATTTGGCAAGTGGACTCGCTCCACCCAGCAGAGCGGTTAGAGAGATAGTAGTGCCGGTTACTAATCATTGGACTAGAGGCTTTTCAAGTTCTGGAGTGCAGGAGAGTGCAGGAGAAAGGGGCCAAGGGCGGCAACACTTCCTCGCATTAACTAACGGCTTTACTCCCCAGAACAGCTATTGTAAGAGATTGATTCCTCCTCCATTATTCGAAGTAATTGCGAATGGCGGTGAGGTGAGACAGACTATGACCTATGTCATGATCTCGCAAGAATAGTTTCCTCCAAAACCGAAGGATAATCTTGTCAGGACATGCGATGGAGGCTCATCAAACACGAGCGAGTAAATGCATGCGAGACAGAAGTTGTGGGCCAAGTAAGAACGCTACCTAACGAAGTTCCAGAAGAAAGAGCACGCCGGATCATTTTATTGATATCCTAGCCCTAAAATGAGTTCCCAGGTTCCCCGGTACGGTACTTGGCTACCAGTTCCGCGAGACCATACGGAACCGCAGGAATTCCGGAAGATGCTAATCAATCACCGAAAGCTCCCCTTCACGCCAGCCACACCAAAGTCTGTTTGCTTCGCTCGCAACTAGTTATTACCCAATAATAATGGTTTGAAGCGGAGAAATGAATGAACCATGAAACACTTCAACTCCACATCTGAAATCCTCCCTAGCGTGTATTCTGGGATTTTCGTCTAGAAGGTTTCGAACTCTTCTTTAAACCCTGGCTGGCGACCCGGTTCCGCGGTAGACTATTCATTTACTCGTAAATTTACTCTAAACTGGACTGGTCTCGTCCATGGGGCTTCCAGGTCCAGTGTTCAGATATCGTTGGATTGCTTACAGTGTAATTACGGTATGGTATCACCACTGCACAATCTCATATGGCCTTCTAATATAATATTCCCCTTTTGCAGCTGTGATAGGTTACGTACCACATGTTGTGCGAATCTCAATACAGTCACGTCGATCCTGGTCAATGGTCTCCTGATGATGACCTCAACTAGCAGCTTCTAAAGTACAGCTGATATTACAACCGCAAAACCAATTCTACATCTAAGCTGTTAATGCCGCAGACCTACGAGTACCGTACAGAGGTACGTGTCGCTATTAGCTAACCTACAAAGCAATTACCGGCCTTGCCGGATATATTCAATCTTCTACTACATGGTAGAATTTCGTAAAACGGAAGAGTTGTGATATCACTTCCCATTATTGAGTCGAGTTGCATTTACCAGCTTGAGGTTTTAAAGGGTCTCCCCCTAACTACCATGGTCACTTGACTCGTCAACTCGCTCGCTTCAGCGCCTCCTTGAGTTAAAGCGAGAGCCCCTGGCACGCTTCGTTTCCGTAACTCTGGTCCCGGTAATCCCCAGCAGGGCTATCCTAGTATATATTTGATGCTTTCCAACTCCGCTCTGTTGATCTTCAATTGGCGGGCCCCCATCTCGGACATTTAGGACATCATGTCAAGGCTTCGCACCGCACCAGCCTCATATCCCACATGTGACAGGAGAATTAGCAATTTATTTCCAATCTATGGGTTTTCATAGTCGGTAAGTATCGCAGCTAGTGGACAGGGCAGGGTATATGAAGGTAAAAAGAAACATTTCTACGTGTTTTTGATACTCGTACCAACCAAGCAAGGGAGGCACAGCATCTCGCGCCGTAGCTGTTGAGCTGGCAAGGCTGGCTAGCTGACAATGCCAATGAGGGTGGACCTGCCGTCATCAGGGGTTCAGGGGCACGATGTTCATTTCCCCGCCCCGCTCATCGACTGGAAATATGGAAGACGCTACGAAGGTACCGTACTGATCCCATTTCCGCTATGCCAATTCTCATCCACCTTATCCGAATCGTGAAAACCGGCGAGCGATCGCAACGTGGGCGCCAGGGATTGCTTCATGTACTGGTATCAGACCCATTACGATGAATCTTTGTTTCATCTCGTGATGGTGTAGGGCTACTCCATTTCTTTTCCAAATCTGACAGTGGAGACATTGTTTGCTCCATAATTATATATTCCGCATCACTCAAAGAGTGTAAATTCTACCAATACAGGCTCTTCAAGGGTACAAACGAGAAGTCTCACTTCAAGATTGGCGTGGCCGTTGCACTTCGTACTCCGTATTTCTTGCGGTTTTAGGGATTTCCACCAGGGTTCAAGCGGAATCTGTCTATCCACGCTAAACTGTCTCCACTGTCAGACTTGCTTTTTCGTACCTCCGTAGAGGGAAAAAACGAATATGGTGGGGGTTGTCCAAATACGCAGGGCTATTCGGACTTTGAAGTACGGAATATAATATCAAAACGAGTACACAGCCACTCAATTTGCACCCAAATTTACGGAGGACATCTTACAGAGGGAGGAACGGTGGCATTGCAGCTAGTAGGGTTTATTTCCCCCCTGCAATTGAAGGCCCTCCACACACCGCCGCTCAGAAAGATCCGTGCCTGAGGAGATTTTCTCCTCTCAACCCGATGCCACGCTACAAGACCCAAAGTTTAGTAGTACAGGGAAGGTTCCATGACACCATGTGCGTTTACTGCAAACAATTTCCCCTAGCCCTTTCCAGCTCGCATTCTAACGGGCCACGGAGTCAAAGTGCCGGGACCATGTGGAGTACCGTCACCGTCTGATACCAACTTCAGGGCTTTTGGGGGTTTTAACTGGCGCTATCTTGGAAGAAGCAAAGCAACACAACCTGGTTGAGCCACGAACGTGGCCCCCCTGATACTACTTCCTGCAATATGGTGACTCTCGCCGTACGCCTCGTCACCGCTCCTCATATGTTGTAATTATAATTCTAGCGGCCACTACTGTCCACTACAGCCCAAAGAGTTTAAGCTAAGTATCTACTCCATGGGTTTCCTCTCCTGGCGGTCAAGTACATGGCTGGCTTCATTTGCTCTGCACATCCTCTCCTTTCCGATCTTCTGATCCTTTTCTTTTCTTATATTACAGCAGATCATATAAACTGTTGTGTACTTGCTTTTCCAACTGCACCTACCCAGACACTGTCCACTTTGTGTTCCTCTTAAGGACACTGCAGCAGACACAAGATATAACCTCTACATGATCCCCTGCTCTGAATCCAGCTTCTCTCACCTCTGCAAGCCAAGATCGTCTTTTGAGATTACAACAAATACCACAACTTACTGCTAATTCGCACGCCTACGCTACAATTCCGCAAGACCAAACCTGCCACATCCGCCATGTCTAGCACACAGCTTCCGGGTCCGCGGAAGCGAACTCCCGAGTTTCCAACAAGACAGATGACAATTCTAGGTATGTGGATTTCCATGTCATGGCTTTACAGTGTGCCCAATTGAAGCCTCGCTGACCGTCGTACTATGCAGCACTATGTCGAATCTGCGAGCCCATAGCCTTCATGTCCATCTTCCCCTACATCTACTACATGATCCAAGACTTCCAGGTCACGAAACGCGAGTCGGAGATACCAATCTATGCAGGAATGGTAACATCAGCTTTCGCCTTCGCAGAATTCTCATCCGGACTGGCGTGGGGAAGATTGAGTGACAAAATTGGACGAAAACCAGTGCTTCTGACCGGACTGGCTGGAACGGCACTAAGCATGTTGGTTTTCGGATTTGCGCCCAGTCTGCCGGTTGCATTACTGGCTCGGGCGCTGGGCGGTCTCTTGAATGGGTATGTGGACGGACAATCCATTTCTCACCGTGCACTGATGTGACCTTTCTTGCTGACGGATTGCTGCATTTAGAAATATTGGTGTATTACAGACCACAGTTGCCGAGATGGTCACTGTCAAGGAACACCAACGTAAGTAAATTGATATATCACATTTTGGAAAATTAGAGCCTCTTGCTGACGAATCACAAAGCGCGAGCTTATACGATCATGCCATTTGTCTGGTGTCTCGGGTGAGTGTTTTCTGGAGAAGATTTTCAATTCTGATTTCAAATGCTGACAGGCCTTTAGATCAATACTTGGTCCTATGCTGGGAGGCGCTCTAGCGCGCCCCGTACTCAGCTACCCCAGTGTATTTACCCCAGGAAGCATCTGGGAAAGGTTCCCGTACCTGCTACCAAATCTGGTGTGCACCGTTATCGTATCCTGTGGAGTCGTGGTAGGAATTCTATTCTTAGAAGAATCGCACGCGGAGAAGAAATTTCGACGTGATCCGGGGTTGGAGCTAGGAAAGTGGATTTTGAGCAAGTTCACGCGATGCGCCGAATCGAAGACATTGAGATGTGAAAAAGCATCAAACCTCGAGGAGGTCGTGGCCTTGTTGAGTGAAGACGAGCAACCGCCAGGATATCGCACCAGCGAGGGCTCACCCAGGCTGCCGTCCACACCATCACCGGAACCGCACGAACCACTGGACTTGAATACACCCCGTGTTTTGAGGAAGTCCAAACCTGCTACGACAAAAGCGTTCACGCGACAGGTTGTCTTGAATATCGTCGGCTATGGCATCCTAGCTTAGTAAGTGGTGCAAGACTTTGTTTTCCATGCATTTGTATTGACTCGTGATCAGCCACACGATAACATTCGATTCCATGCTTCCCACTTTCTTGAGCACTCCAGCGCCGCTCGCAGAAGCTGCCACTCCATGGCAATTGCCCTTCAAATTCGTGGACGGGTATGGCCTCAGCACAAGTCAAATCGGCGTCGTCTTGTCTGTCCAAGGAGTCTATTCTATGATCGCTACTGTCTTCCTCTTCCCCTTTATTGTCCGGAGGCTAGGAGCTTTAGGTCTCTTTAGATGCATCGCCATTTCGTACCCGATTCTTTACGTCGCAACTCCATACTTGGTATTGCTTCCGGATAACCTCCGAATGGTTGGGGTCTACGTGGTAGTAATTTGGAAATGCACCTTCGCGACGATGTCCTATCCCAGCAATGCGATACTGCTCACGAATTCCGCCCCGTCGCTGCTCATGTTGGGGACCATCAATGGCGTAGCCGCATCGATGGCCAGCCTGTGTCGAGCATTCGGACCAACTGCCTCAGGATTCCTCTTTTCAGCCGGTCTTCGGATAGGATACTCGGGCCTAGCCTGGTGGTGCAGTGCAATCATTGCCATTGCCGGCGCTATCCTCAGTTTGAGCATGAGTGATAAAGGAGGCCGTATGGACGTGGAGGATGAGAAGAACGACGAAGAGCAGGAATTGGGCTTCGAAGACCACGTCCTGGATCACGAGTCACTCAACTCTGCCCTCACCGTTGCGGAACCAAGGGGTCTATACACGGACGACGACGAGGCAGTCTGACGACGTCAAGTGACGCACGGTCTCACACCAGTCGTGCACGAGCTCACGAATTTTATAGATTTCATTTTAAGCTCTCGGGAGGATATCTGTATTAATCTTTTTTTGTTTGCATTTCTCTTTTACCCGTCTGATTCAAGCGTTGCGGTTTTCTAACTTTGTGGCGTATGGGTTGTGGGATAGTACATTTATACCCAAGAAGGGAGTTTATTAAGACGGAACCTGATCAGATCAGAACAAAGTAACTGGGTTGGAGTTTCTTGGCCTGGAGGAAAGAAAAAGGTACATGGGTATAGCGTAACTGGAAGCAAGCATTTTTAACGGCGTCACATCTCTTAGCTAGATAGAGTTCTGTTGGGGACAGGTGCATTATTTAGACAATTTACTCAATTTATTGTGATACGATCAGTCCCTGCCATGTCTTCGTACCGTACCGCACCACCGTAGGTAGTGAGTGGAGTGTAGCGAGCGCGCTGTTCGTATCTTTACTCGATGGCCTCACATAATGGTACCTCCACACTAACTCCTATAGTTTCCGTATTTGGCCTAGTGTCCCCCCAATCACTAACACCGGGCTCCGATGATTCGTTGATGCTCTTATCACGGCCCACGGCCTATAGTACGTATCGCCCCGTTCAGAAGCCCATTATCAATATCCCACGCGGCTGCAGCCTCTCCAGCTGGGCAGGACAGGACAGGACAGGCACTGATTACCGACCGTACAGTCCTTTTGCTTCTTTGCGCCTGCCAATTGGACCCAGCGCGACGTTATCGCCGATTGCCCTACTCCATTTCGACGCAGTCGCCCTCCTTTCCCTCAAGATCCAGATCCAGAGCCTCCTAATCGGAAGAAAAAACAAATCGATATGATAACAGCAGCTCAAATCGTACGACCACGCACCGCAGTATCAGAGCACAATGAGCAGGGAAGAGCACACCGACTCAACCCCTCAAGTTAAGCATAGATAGGGTAACGCTGGCCAATCAAATTCTATTCTACGATTGCCGCAACGATAGATTTCCCTTGAGCTGTCACTTCCCGGCGTGGCCCGCAGGAGGCGCCTACGGCCTACGAAGATAGTATAAAGTCTACCAGAGGGAGGGAAGAGACAATGGACCCGAATTCGAACCTGCGGAGCCCCAAGTCGACATCAATAATCAAGGCTGAAGGAGGAAGCGGCTACCCTCACAAGCGCGCCAGGCACAACTCCCCTGATAGTACGACTACTACAGGAAATTTCTCTGGAAGTCCCAGAAGTGTTGAGGAGATTGAGATTCCGGTAATTGCGACTGGAGGTAAGGGCAACAAAGAAGGTGGGAGCAAGGCTGGGCAGAGTAGCAGTTTCCGAAATGTGAGCGCCTGCAATAGGTGCCGGCTGAGGAAGAATCGATGCGACCAGCGCCTGCCAAGTTGCGCAAGCTGTGACAAGGCAAATGTAAAGTGTGTAGGGTATGATCCTATTACAAAGAGAGAGATTCCTAGAAGGTGGGTCTTTGACAATTTTTCTCGTTGTGATTTGGCAAATGGTAGCAATTGAGCTACCTAGTACTAAAAGATGGCTAATGGGCGGTCTTGCACAGTTATGTCTTCTACCTCGAAACCAGGGTTGACTACCTAGAGAAGGTCCTCCAGGATAACAATATCCAGTTCGCGCCTGCCGAAATCCTCGACCACAGCTCGCGACCTGGTGCAGATCCGAGTACAGTCCAAACACCTACTGATGAGGGACCGCCACCTTACAATGGCAACGATCCCTCTATCACGTCGCACAAACAGTCTCCGCAAGAAGTGGCATGGAACAAGAAGCAAGATGAGTCAGAAAAACTCAATAAACTGGTTTCCAATATCGGTAGCGTGTCCGTACAAGGAGCATCCGACTCGCGCTATTTGGGTTCTACATCAGGGATCTCATTTGCCCGAGTTGTATTCGCCGCGGTGAAATCTTCGGTTTCAGGCTCAAGTAGTGACAAGAGCGGTATCAGACCCTCGCGGCCTCCCATCGCAAGCAAAGCTACGGGTACAGGAGGCACCTCTATGCGAGATTCCTTCTTTGGCTTACACACTAAGCCAACTATCAAGCAAGCTCCGTTCCCTAGCAAGGATCTTGGACAGCGACTTGTGGAATTCTACTTTGAGCATGCAAATCCGCAGATTCCAATCTTACACAGAGGGGAGTTCATGAAGATGTTTGAGTTAGCCTATGCGGATGGTGATAAGCGAGTCCGAACTTCGAGGGAGTTGTATATGTGTAATATTGTGTTTGCTATTGGCGCAGGTATATTCTTGGGGGACTCTGGAGACAAAGAGGATAAAAGGGAAGAAAGGAAGAAGCCAGGTCTGGGGAAACAGTGCCAACCCGAGGAATATCATGCTTCTGCGATTGTGCATTTGGAGTCTTGTCTCAGCTCATCAGGATCGGCCGATAGAGTGGATGGCTTTGGTGGAGGCTTGGAGGAGTTGCAAGCAGTCTTGTTGCTTGCTGGATTTGCTCTTTTGAGACCAGTTGCTCCTGGGTTGTGGTATATTATCGGAGTCGCTGTACGATTAGCTGTGGATCTGGGACTACATTATGAGGATGGGAAGGATATAGATGTCGGACTTGATGAAGCCGCGGAGGACACCCAAAGTGAAAGCGACGTCATGAAACTTCAACGAGACCGAAGCCTACGAGAGCGAGGTCGACGAGAATGGATCCGAGATTTCAGGAGACGGTTGTGGTGGTGCACATATTCCTTTGATCGACTAGTCTCGACTTGTGTTGGGCGACCTTTTGGGATAACGGACCAGGTGATTACAACTGAATTTCCTTCTTTACTAGACGACAAATACATTACGCCGAATGGGTTCCTGGAGCCTACTGGGGGTGCCTCCGAGCCATCCTACAAGCATGCCGCGTATCACTATTTTAGGCTGAGGTTATTGCAATCTGAAATTCTGCAAGTTTTACAACACCAACAAGCACAGCAAGCTCGGGCTGGAGGTGCTAATCAACGAAATCCTTATATGCACACTGCACTCCCGTCTCCTTTCCTCTCGAAATTTGATAGCTTCCGGTCTTGGCGGATTGATATCGACAAACGGTTATGGGAATGGAAGAGCTCAGCCCCAACGAAACGGGAGACGGGCGTTGCATTCTCGGTCGAATTCCTGGAGCTAAATTATTGGCAATGCGTAATCATGCTCTATCGCCAGAGTTTGAGCGTGCCAGCATTGTTTGAAGGCGAATTCAGCACTAGTGCAGAGGTGGAAAGCCCAACGATGCATAATGTTGAGCTAAGGGAAGATGAGGAACGCGTCTTCTTGAAGGTTGCGGAGGCTGGACAAAGAGTTTTAAGACTATATAGACAGTTGCATCGGGTGCACCTGGTCAACTATACTTTCTTGGCAACACATCATTTGTTCATGGCAGGTATATCATTTCTTTACGCTATCTGGCACTCACCGATCGTCAGAAGTCGACTGGTAAGTTTAGCATCACTATTCAGATTGATTAAGATGCTAATGATATGCACAGACAATGGATGAGGTCGACTTCACGATACTGGCAGCAACTTCTGTTCTTGGTGATCTTATCGACAAGTGTCCTCCAGCAGAAGCTTGTAGGGACGCTTTTGATCGAATGTCCAAAGCCACAGTCCAGATGTGTATGTCCACCACAGGCTTCAGCTCCTCTGCTCAAGGTCTCAACTCTCGTCGTCGCTCCCATAATCATAGTCAAACACCTGAAGGAAGTGACTACATCAACGGCCCGAACGGGAAATCCCATTTACGGCGCCAAAGCCGTGGACCTCAAAACCCTCGACCTAAACCTCTATTCGACATGGGCCTCAATGATTTACTAGGCCCATCAGTGCCCTCTCTTAAAACTTCTCAAGCACAATACCGAAATAGTCCACAGGATATCAAATCCGAGTTCGAACCCTACAACACAACCACCACTCCCCCCCTCCACGACAAATGCAATGCGCTCCACCACCACCCAATCAAATACCGCTCAAACGTCTATCCCGTCCCCCTCCGACTACGCCATCTCGCCACCCCTCTCCTCCCTCGACACAGCCGCCATCGACCCCTCTCTTCTTCCGTCCCGAGCATACGACCCCGCCACAGCACAATACGCCGCCAACCCTTACCAAGAACTGCAGTTTCCCCTCCAAAACGCTCCTGGTATGGACTTTCTGCAGGGTAATGGGTGGGAAGCTCCACAAGGAGCGCAAAATGGCAATGCGTGGAGTGGGGATCTGGGTATGGGGTTGGGTTGGGATGGTATGGATCATGATTTCAGTGAGGGCGGGAACGTAGATTTGTTTGACGGGTTCTTTTTTGGCGGAACGGGGAATTTTTGAATTCATACAGAACAAACAGTAGAGAAAATAGTGAAGGGAATCATTTTCTTTGGTCGTGTGGGATCTGACCTGGGTTTATTGGTTAGCACAAAAAGGATCCATGGCATGGGAAATGCACTCGTAGATATAGGACTGCGAGCAAGCAAGGCGTTCTGGGCGTCTAGCTTGAGGACTGAACTGGATATATGAATGTCATATTTTCCCCTATTCGCTCGAAACGAGATAAAATTAGAAGGGAAGGACAGAATTTAGATTTCTGTAAAATCTCATCATACAGTAGCTTCACTCCATTTATTCATTGAATGGTTAGCCGAGTTATTAATCTTCCACGTTGTGACATCCATATTTCTGGTTTGAATGCATATGAACATGCTACAGACTGTACGTTCTAAGCCAAGTAAAGCGACACAGGTAGCTGATGATAAAGCTGATAATCTAGCTCCTGCGACCACTCTAAGACGAAAAACTTCACCAATCCAATAATGCTGCTATCCATATTCAAGTCCAAGTCTATATCACTATCACTATCCTTGGTTTTCTGTATCAGTCCCTTCCAGAAATCCGTCTCGTCTTTGTTCTTCGACCAGCCCTCGTCTTGAGAATGCTCAATCAGGACTTCTACCACCGCAATAACGACCCGGACTAGATCTCCACTGTTCCCAACTCCTGCCATAATGGACGATTCGGCCATGTCTCCCATAGAGCTTTTGACAAACTCGGCATCCCATCCTTTCTTCACTAAGCTAGATAATTTCTCTTCCGCGACGCGTTTTAACATGCTGGCTAGGCGCCGCCGGTGACGGTTCATGGTTGGTCTTCCGTATGCGAGAAGTGTGTCTTTGAGACCGCGGTGCAGGGACCAGGAGAGAGAAGACCAAGGTAGGCAGTCGAGCGCCCGAGCTAAAAGCGCCTGTATGGGCTCTGGCACGAAGACGACCGCCACGTCATGTTCATTTTGGGGAGACGCTGTCAGACAGGGGATTTCAAGCTTCAGTGCCGAGTCCTTCGTATCGATCTCGCTGTTGCAGCGTACAAGAGATAGTAAATCCACCTCGAAGACCCTCCCTCCCATCATATTATACAAATGCCGACTCCCATGCGCACCCGGAAACCCTTTCTTGGTCGCCTCCAACTTCCACGGTCCCTGCCCTTTCGCCCTACCCGGGAACGCGAGCTTCCACCCCGCGGCATCCGAGACGATGCCGCAAAGCAGCTCGACGCACTTATCGGCCCGCACGGAGAAATCGGGGGGGGGGGGGGGGGTAGACGTCCGTTGCGGCGCTATGGCTATCGTGTGCAGCTAGGGATACTATGCATGGTTTTCCGATGGGCCATGCGATGCTCCATTGACCGCAGTAGGAGGGGTATGCGGAGCGGTAGCCTGACGCGGAGGAATAACTGAAGATCGGGCGTGCGTTTGTGATTGCGAAGAGAGTCATTAATGTTGCGCGGCTGATTTTTACACAGAGTTTGGTGTCATGGAGAGTCAGTGGTTCGAGGGGCAAGTGCGGCCAGTAATCCTTTGGATTCAGAGTTGTCGCTTCTTCTTTGCTTGGGGATGAGGATGAGGATGAGGGCTCAAGAGCGTCTCTGGGGAAAGGGGAGGGGTGGATAATGCTAGTCAAGATGGACCAGGCACTTGTTCCGGCTTCAGCGAGGGGTAGCCGTGATATCTGGACCTCATTGACGCCGCAGAATCCGTCCGCGAGCCTCGCGTTAATGGCTGGACCGAGAGTCACGATCTGCTTCTCATTCTCAAATGGCATCCAGGTTCCTGGGGCAGAATACCAGGGTCCAAGCTGTGCTTCAATTCCATGGGCGTTTAGGCTCGTCGAAGTTTTGTCTCGGTCCCCATCCTTGAGATATTTGAGAAGAGCGGCAATTGCCAGGCCGGAGGATACACTTAGGACAACATGTTTAGTTGGCGAAGTGGGCATTCTTGTCTGAGGCTATAGTCAGAATAGTACATCTTTTTGGGCATAAGTGATGGAGATTAATACTCCATGTACTGCGTCGGTTTAGTGGTTCAGCCAGCTGAAAAGCTTGAGGAACCAGTGCGTTTAAGAGGGGTGGTAAGGCCGCTCAAATCAGATCTGGCGCTCAGTAGGAAAGGAAGCGGTCGAAAGTTACGCGCGATGAAGCGTTTTGGACATATGTGTGTATACCCTATAGAAAGATTCGAGTAGATCCGGAGACCTGTAGATGCAGAAGTGCGGTCCACTCCACCATTGAAATGTCATTGCATCCTTTCTGTTGCAAGCTACAGAATCCGAGAGGACTAGGCCTATTCGGGCACGCTAGGCCTCCCTTTATACTGCTTAGATATCTTAGCACTCTGCAAAGTTGGCATTTCTTACTCTTCAAAAAGCGCAATAGCAATTTTCATGGATTGTACTCCACCTATGTCTATCATGGCTTGTACTAGCTTACCTCAATACCGCTTAATTCTCCCCGGTCCCGAAGATAGCCCTATGTCGATATTACTCTGTAGCAATATAACGGATTGCACCTGAACTAAGCCTCCTACGCCGCAAGAGATCCCCGCATCGTTTCGATTCTTCTATCTCTCCATCACGTGAGCCATAAGCCCAAAAGAGTCCTTTTATGCTTCTCGCGAATCATGTTTGTCAGAAAGGCAGCACGCGATTGTTGTGCGAGATGACGCTAGACCATCAAGGTGGGGCGAAGTGCCAAAACAGTGGTGATACTTAATAAGATCCGGGTTGCACTGGATTCTGAAGAGACATTTGTATTTGTTATCATCTTCTTACGATCTAGTATTTGACCTGAATTGCTATAACCTGCCACAATTTGAGCATCATGGCTATTAAGCTACCTCGCGTAGCTATAATTGGCGCCGGCCTGAGTGGTGTTGTCTCTGCAAAACATCTCAAGTATTCCGGTGCGGAGGTTGTAGTTTACGAAAGGTCCAGCAAAAGTGGAGGGAACTGGTAGTTTGAAATCATTCAAGCCCTTTGGATACTTAGCTGAAGGAGTGTTTCCTAGGGTTTACGATGACCGAAAAGCACCCGAGCCCATATACCCATCACTTGATCCATCGCGAGCAGAATTGGCCTCTATAGATTCAGAAGCAACATCAAATGGGGAGCAGAAACAATTTTCTTTGAATGGCGACCACGAGAACAGTCCGAAGTTTGATAAAATCGAATTGGCGTATGCGCCTCCAGGCCCCGCATATGACGGGCTTACAACCAATGTCCCAACCAACTTACAAGAATTGAAAGGCTACCCATGGCCAGAAGGGAATGAGCAATTCGTTAATGTAAGAGTTTGCGGGGAGTATATTCAATCATATTCTCGCGAATTCGGCATCGAGCAAGTAACCAAGTATGATACACGAGTTGAAAAGGTCGAGAAGAGGGGAGACAAATGGAGAGTTTTATCCACTACTTTGCTCCTTGAGGGACCTAATAAGGGAGATATAACGAGTAATAGTGATGTAAGGACTTCTCTTCTTGTATGAAAGGAGATTAGAAACCCTACGCAAATTTTGACTTAAAATACAGGAATTTGACCGAGTCGTTGTGGCGAACGGTCATTATCATGCGAGCAAGGTCCCAGATACCCCGGGTTTGAAAGATTGGAAATACACATGGCCAGATAGGGTTCAGCATTCGAAATCATATAGGACACCTGATGAATTTAAAGATCAGGTTACAACTCTCTCATCTGCTGATATATATTCTCACGACTAATACCAGCTTTAGAATATTCTTCTGATAGGCGCCGGCGTTTCCTCAACCGATATTGCACGAGAACTGTCCCGGGTCGCTAATAAGATATACCAATCTTCCAGAGGCGGTCCATATGACCTACCCATCGAGCTCTTGCCAGCAGTAGCATCCAGAGTAGCCGAAGTCGCCCATTTTGAACGCCCCACGAAAGACCAAATCAAGCCGGGATATGTTACCCTCAAAGACGGCCAGATTCTAACAGACATCGATAGGGTCATCGTTTGCACAGGATACCACTTTTCCCTGCCGTTCCTTCGAAGCTTCCACAGTGATTCGACGGCAGTGGACAAGGCAAACGATACAGTTCTTGTCACGGACGGAACCCAGATGCACAATCTCCACAAGGACCTCTTCTACATCCCGGACCCCACAATTGCATTTGTAGGGGTCCCTTTCTACACGGCGACGTTTAGCTTCTTTGAGTTCCAAGCCATTGCTGTGGCGGCAGTGTTTTCTGGCCGAGCTTCGTTGCCTACGGAAGACGAGATGCGGACAGCATACCGAGAGAGAGTGCAGAGGAAAGGATCGGGGAGAGCGTTTCATGATATGAAGGGCGAAGAAGCGGCATATGTGAAAGACTTGGTGGAGTGGGTCAACTCAGATGCACAATTGATAGATGGCCGCAAGGTTGTGGGACATTCAAAAGAGTGGTTGGAACAGAGGGAGGTACTTCGGGAGACATTTCTGAAGTTCCTTGCTGCGAAAGAGAGCCGAGAAAGAGAGAAGAATCTTTGAAGCCAGCGCAATGAGAAAGCGAGACCAGATCCGCGAGAACTGCCAGTCAAATTGTTATATTAGCCAGTTATCGTTTCTCGCCCTTGGCAACCTCTAACCGGCATTGAAAGTTAGACTAAGTACGGAATATTGAAGGAGTATTATAAGGCAAGTCGCTTTCCGCAAGCTAATAACTGGTCAATAGCGCTAGCTACGAAGGACGATAGCTAAGCAATTCTAGCATACAAACTGAAATTCGCATTATAAAATAACCGAATCTTCTCCTTAATCAAGCAATTTAATCAATTAGATAATACGTCGAGAACTCCCTAATAATAAGAATCATAGAGGTCTTTATAGTGCCCGTCCATTTCAGCAGTTAGCGTATATAGATGCTACGAAGCATTTATGTCTATAAAATTACATCAGAGTATAACAAGCTAAAAAAGGAGACACAGCTACTAGCTCAGCGCTTCTCAATTGCACTAGCATAAGAGCTAGTAATCTTCCCATAGAAGAATCCGCCTAGCTCGAGTGAAAGGCACTAGCCAAGAGCCGTCGCATCTATGTAAAGCGTCTTAAACGCTATGTATAAAGAAATGAACATCACTAGAAGTGAAATGGAAGAGTGCAGGCTGTGACAAAGGCGTACTATAATTCAAGACATCATTGTAGAAGTAAAGTGAGGCTATCCAGGAAAATATCGTAGCATGGCGCTAATTTTTTCAAGGATATAATAAACCCCCATGTGAAGGCCGAGGCTTCCTCGGCTTCTTTAGCTGCGGGAGAATTCGGGAACGTTCAGCCTCGAAATCAACTCACAACGCAGTATATAAGCACATTTCCCCACATGACCCATAGATGAGATGAGACTAAATATCATAAATTTGGGGGTTTTAAGTCAAACAAAGCAATGGCTGTAGAAGAATATCCCTCAAACGTGGCGCCGGCGCCATTATGGTACAAAAACCCGCTTCTCAAGCCCGCACTCCCCTTTCTAGTCGGAGGAACCTCTGGAATCGTGGCCACGATATGCATCCAGCCAATCGACATGATAAAAGTGCGCATCCAGCTATCCGAAGGCGCCGCAACACCTGTGAGCGTACTCCGGCAGGTAGTTTCGCAAGGCCGCATTCTCGATCTATATAGCGGGCTGTCCGCCGGTATCCTTCGACAGGTGGTATACGGAACGGCACGTCTAGGCCTATTCTTCACTTTCGAGGATATTCTCAAGCAGCGCGCGAGCAGGAATGGGACGAAATACGGATTTCCCGAGCGTGCTTCTGCGGGTATCGCGGCGGGGGCTTTGGGTGCTACGATTGGGAACCCTGCGGAAGTAGCGCTTATACGCATGCAATCTGATGGGTTGCTTCCGAAGAGCCAGAGAGCGAATTATCGTTCGGTTTTTCATGCCCTGTCGTCTATTACGCGCAATGAGGGTGTGAAGGGGCTCTGGAGTGGCGCGTATCCTACGATTATTCGTGCTATGGCTGTGAACTTTGGACAATTGGCGTTTTTTTCAGAGTCGAAACACCAGCTGACTGAACGGACGGATCTTTCGGAACAGACAAAGACTGTTGCTGCATCGTGTATAGCGGGATTCTTTGCTGCGTTCTTCAGTTTGCCGTTTGATTTTATGAAGTCAAGATTGCAGTCTCAGCGGAAGAGCGCGGACGGGGTGGTGAGGTATAAAGGGATGATGGATTGCTTTGTTAAGGTTGCTAAGGATGAAGGGTTGTTGAGGTTCTATAGGGGCTTTGGAACTTATTTCATGAGGCTTGCACCACATACGTAAGTGATGGTAACGCCCGCATTTGAGACATGTGCTAATCAGTAATTCATAGGGTGATCGCGCTGATTGTCGCTGACAATCTGAATATGCGATTGAGGTGATAATCGAGCACGTTCAAGGAACCCGTTTGGATCACCTGAAATCGTGTTCCGGAAGCTGTTGGTTGGGAGGGTTTGCTACGGCCTTATAGAAGTGAGGTGCTACAGCAAAGAAGCTGCGATAAGAGCAAGCCAACCTGTGAATAGCCGGAGGTAGAGTCTCTCATTTCATGTTGCTTTGAGTGGCAATGAGAAGACGTTACTGCTGAGCCTAAGGCCTTCACTGGATTATCATTCATGTAGGATAAGAGAGGTTGAAAAGAAGAGGCTAGGCTGGAGCTGAAACGCACTGCGTGCATATGCCACTTGGCCTTGTTATTCGATCAGAATTGTTATTCTTGATTGCCTCTATGTGCATCGAAGTAATAGTACGAAGAGGGCAGCATCAATTACTTCTTGATATAACTAACGCCTATGCACATTCCAAAACGTGTTGATAGCCCCCTATGCTATGTCCATGCTAAAGAGTCCCTACAACATGCCCCCACTCCACTCATAGGAAGAGCGGAAGGTAGTTGTGTATGAACTGATCCAATCCAAACAAAGAAAAAGAAAAAAGACATGGGTATACATAACTCATCTCATCTATTCTATCCCTTCCTCCTTCCTCCCAACACTTCTAAATTCTTGCATCGCTCCTTTGTTCATTTATTTATTCCCCGAGAAAAACCATGAGCTCCTCTTATTGCTCCCCTGCCCAAGCTCACTCTGTAACCCTGATACTGCCAGATTCGCACTTTCGCCGCCACCTCTTAGGGGTTTCGCGATGCGGGAGCCCCCGCCGCCGAATGAGAAACCGCCTGTAGGGGAGCCGAGACCGCGTGTACTGCCTGACTTTGCGGCTTCGAGGCGTTCTTTTACAGCTGTGAGTTGAGCTTCGAAACTATTGTTGTGCGTTAGTATGAATGCCGACAGAATTGAGGGAGGGGATCGGGTAAAGACATACCGATGATTAGCAGCAGTAAGTTTCTCCTGACTATCCTGCAATAGACTCTCCAGACTCTGAATCCGCTCATTCCGCGCAATGAGCTTCCGCTCCGCGATAGCAACTTCTTTCTTCAAACTGCCGTTTTGCTCAACAAGTTGGCGCTGAACATGAGTCAGTTGCTCGAGGTTGCGCTCTAAGAAGGCCATTTTCTTTTGCTGCGCGCGGTTGTTCGACGATTTAAGGACATTGTTGTACTGTTCTCTCGTCTCATCTAAAGAGATTTCAAGCTCGACAACACGCTCGCAGCGGTTCTGGAGATCACGCATGAGAGACTTCTTCATAACATCGAACTCCGCGATTTGCTGCTGTACCGTCTTGCCGTTTGATGAGCCGTTGGAGACGCTACCGCTCTTTACGCGTCGTTGCAGGTCGTCATTTACTGTCTTGAATTTTTGGATCTCGGCAGACTTTTGGTTGAGTTCCGCCTTGAGATCCTCCACGAGCTCAAATTTGGCGTCTTGCTTGTTGGAGTACGCTGCTGCGAGGCGATCCTTGACTTCCGCGACGTCGGCCTCGGTGAGGTTTCGCTCAAGAAGATCTTCGTAATCATGCTCCACGGCCTCGAGACGTGCCTCGAGCTCTTCCCTCCGCTTGGCATTGGTGTCATTGGACGATGTGCCGTAAAGGGATAATTCTGCTTGTCGGACGATGCCTTGTGTCTCCACCAACTTGGCACGGATATTTTCGAACTCATCTGGTGGGATAGCCTCACCCGCAGAACTTTGCTCGTGAAGAGCATCAACTTGGTCAATGACTTTCTTGATAGACCTCTCGTTATCACTGAAGACATCACCACCTAAATCAAATCCAGCCATCATCTTTGCCATCTTCTCGGCTTTCTTCTTTTCCTTTTCATCTAGAACGGCACTTGTCTCCTTTGCGCTCATTTTGACGTCTAGTAATTGTTGCTTAACCTCATCCAATTCGGCAGTGAGTTCGGCATTAGCCTCCTTAAGGCTGTCCATGGTGATCAAAGCCTCCTTGCTTTCAAATGTTAATCGCTCGAGTTGCATCTTGAACTCGTTGACCTCGCTCGTGAGCTTCTCGTTATCCTTGTTTGTCTTTCCGTCATGCTCCTTTAGATAGGCAAGTTCTTCTTTCGTTTCCCGTAAGTTCTTCTCCACGGCGGCAATCTGTGACTCCTTTTCAGCAATTTGGTCTTGGAGTTCATTTTCTCTTCGCAAGAACTCTTCGCGCTCGTCCTTGTCTAGAGGTAATGATGGTGTGGCGGCTCGTTCTTGTGAAATGGGGGTATCTGCCCGGCTGTCTGTGGTTAGTCTTGATGGTGTCGAGGGCCTTGGTGCTTGTGCATTCTCTTTCTTAGCAGCAGCCACCCCAGTTATGGGAGGAGCCCATTTTTCCTTGGGTACCGATTCTCCAGATCGCCATTGTTGAACCTCGGCATCCAGTGTCGACACATACGTTTCGAAAGTTGTAATTTGTGATTGGGCCTTCTTGAGCATTGCCTTGAGTTCCGCAGGGCTGATCTCCGCATTGACCTTTGCTTTATTCTTAATCGCCTTCGCTCTCATGCCGAACCTCAAAGTACCGAGAGTTTCCGCATCGTTATAACTACTCGGCGAACAGTTGATAATAAGTGTTGTCCGACTGTTTCCTCCCAATGATTCTTGTAAGATACGAGTAAGTTTCGAGTCTCGGTAGGGAATATGTTGTGATTTCCCGTCCGTCAAGTTATTGATGACCATACCCAGAGCACTCAAACTCTTATTGATTTTCTTAGCCTCCTCGAGAGTCTGTCCGCTAGCACCAGTCTTGCCAATCTTTTCACTACCTGCCAAATCTACCAAGAAGAGCTGTCCACTCTTCGCTGACCCCGTCTCGACGTTCTTTTGCGTTATGGTTATGACGAATATGGAATGTGACCGCGAGGATTCCTGGTTCATATTCGTAGAAGCAACAGCTCTGGAAGCACCACCCCTCCGCATAACCTCGTAGACCTCCTGAACGCTCGAAACGTAAATCTCCAGCAGGCCCTTGACATAAACACCCCTATTCTTCTCCTCGTGTACAGGCAGGTTGTCATTATGCGGTGCCAGCAAATCCCGAATCCTTTCCATATAAATCTCCATATAACTGACTCGGACCGTGTATTCAATGGTGCCCGGACTTGCAAGAATGCTGGCGAATATCTGCTCCACGATCCTAGGAATCACACCTCTGCCCTCATCATTGTCAATATCCGTCCCCATCATCGTATACGACTTTCCCGCACCCGTTTGTCCATATGCAAAGACCGTGCCATTGTAACCGTTAAGGATATCGTCTACTGTAGGCTTGATAGAGAAATCGAAGACATCTTTCTGCCGCGAGTTCATATCAAACACGCGGTCGAAGGTAAAGGAGCCAGAGGCCTCCTTGGACTGTGGCTATTGTCAGCAAACATACCTCCCCGTGTGATACCGTTTCCTACATCGAGAGCGCATGTGTCCTCGGATTCAAATGCAACGATAGGCAACCCTCCTTGCTGAACCTCGACGGAGTTCTGCGGCCTGAACCGCGCCACCACCTTGATAGAGTTTGACATGATCGCGAGGTGGAGGTGTTCCTATCTGAGATCGATCATAGGGGCTTTTGTGCAGTCGAGAGCGTTGTCGTTGAGAGAGTTTTGCGTGACGTTTCTGTCCGATAAGGGGGTGTTGTCTTCGCGTAGTTACCAGGCTTTGGCGCGTCAAATAATCAAACTACGGTAATTTGAGGCGGAACAATGCAAATCACGTTACACCGCCAGCGGATGCATGAACCGAGAGATTATGTTTATTTTGTTCGACCGATCAAAGGTGACATTGTGATTGTAACATATGGAAAATGTGTCATGTGAATGCAGTTGCTTGAATTTGATAACGCTAAATGCTGTAACATGCATGCAGGATGTTCCCAGAACTCCTTTTCCATCGCCACGCAGCCGGAAGGGACAAAGCAAGAGCGCCTGAGACTCCACAACCCCGCCATATCATTTTCAAATTCTTATACTGCATGCCCGCATAATCGATGTCTCATTGCTAGAGGAACTTTAATCTTCCCAAGACTTCTCCACTGATTCCCGCACTCGTTTTGTGTACTCCCGTCTGTTGTCTTTGTAAAGGTTGGATGCTTCGACGTTGGCGGGCGAACTGGTATTAGGATCGTTTAGGAGACTGCCAAAATATCAGTATATATCCTTCTTTTCTACACGGGATGGTCCGTACCTCTGGATACTCGTCAAGACAGCCGCCACATCATATGTTGGACTCCATCGATTCTGCAGGATATCCAAACAAAGTTCTCCAGTGGCGTATACGTTCGGGTGGAACATGTTGCTGATGAACTTGACTGCGGGAGGTTTGTTGGGATATTGTTCTTCGAAATGCATAACGAGTCTGAATGTGCCGTCTTCGAATGGTGTATCTGCTGGGCCGATGATAACTGCGTTCCTGTTGAAGGTGGGGTTAGCATGTGCATCTTTCTCGTCCATCTTAGCATTTCTTACCAGGTCATGACATTATCTGCTACAGGAGATGCGGAGACTCCAGCTGGAGGATCCGTTTGCATGCGCTTTGTCTTTTGTCAGTACTGAAGTATAATGGTGTGCTCAGCTACTTTGGCCACCAACCTTGAAGTCTCGCATGAGACGGCGACGGGCAGCTGTAGACATGTTCGTAAATTTCTGTTGGGCTATGTTTCTTGAGAATGTGCTGAGTAGCTTCGGATTTACAAGATGGGCTCGATGTTGAGTGCTTGATGGTGGGGTGGGATGAGGTCGTTCAACGGAGGGTTTCTGAGCTGAGTTCCCGATAGCGCGGGGAAAGGACTTGTCACTTACTAAGGTGGGTTCGATGAATGGCAAATGCAAGGGCCCGCCTTTGATTCTGATTAAATTACCGAGAGAGGCAATATTGAAGTCAAGGATATAGTGAATAATTTGGATAGTGCAGCCGGCTTGGAAGTTTTGAATCAACGAGAGCCAGCAGCGAGATTCCATCAACAATGTTGCTGATAGAGGGTCATCACGTGCTGATTGCTTTCCCCCGCAGACTTAGGATATCTAGGCTAGGTAGCAAAGCTGCCTGTAGAAAATATCGCCATTTTCCTTATTCCTTATAAGTTTATGAATTTATTGCTATCCATGAGCATACCTGTGTCTCGATCTGGCGGCTTTTAGTGGAGACGGCTGTTTAACATTATAGGAGAGGAGTTAAGAATAGGTACTGCATTTGACCATTCACGGGATTACTTACACACTAATGAGTTGAAAGGGAATGGTTTCTTATTCAAACAGGGTTGATTGATGGGTACCTGCATAGTAAATTTTATATAGAACAATAATACACTCAATGGGTCCATTTCCAACCCAATTCGAACTGAACTTGAACCTTGTGAACGTCCCTCTTTAATTGCTTCACTAGCCTACTCCATACTCAAAGTTCACCCGATGTTGGTGCGAGCGACTTCAACTTCCCCGCAGCCGAGGTGTGCGGCTAAGAACGGACCGCTCTCCCTTCACTAACAAGCTCCAAACAAAACAAATCAACATCAGCTTTCCTTTCCTTTCCTTTTCTTCTCATTAATATTTTAGTCCTGCAGCAAGCCATGTCTCTACGATTCGCCATGTCGTCTGCCAGGAATTCCTCTTCAGTATCAAAACAGCGCCTCACACAAGTCCAACGGCATTTCAGCGCCACTACCTCGGCCAGACAAGAAATCCAAGATGCATACATCCTGAGCGCATCCCGAACACCTACAGGAAAAGTAGGTATTTGCTTCCCTCTCTTCTCAAATCTTTATAACTAATAACAATACTCCTCAAGTTTAATGGCGCCTTCCTCACCGTCTCGGCCCCCCGCCTCGGCGCCGTGGCTATTAAATCAGCGCTCGAGAAATCCAAAGTCCCCGTCTCTAAAATAACAGACGTATACATGGGCAACGTACTCCAGGGCTCCGTAGGCCAAGCCCCAGCTCGTCAAGCCATGATCTTCGCGGGGCTGCCAAACACCATCGAAGCAACGACCATCAACAAGGTTTGCGCCTCGGGGCTGAAAGCCGTCGTGCTAGCCGCGCAAAACATCCAGCTCGGTCTCGCGGAAGCACAGATAGCGGGCGGCATGGAATCCATGTCGCGGTGCCCTTTGTACGTGCCGAGGAGCACGAGCCAGTCGCCGTTGGGAAATGTCGTTATGGAGGATGGGATACTGAAAGATGGGCTTACGGACGTGTATGAGCAGTTCCACATGGGTGTCTGCGCGGAGACGACGGCGAAGAAGCATGGCATCACACGTGAGATGCAGGACGAGTACACGAAGCTCTCATACTCGCGAGCGCAGAAGGCGTGGGAGAACGGTGCGTTTAAAGAGGAAGTTGCGCCGGTTACGGTGAAGGGGCGGAAAGGCGAGACGGTCGTGGATACAGATGAGGGGTATCTGGATATCAAGCTCGACAAGCTTTCTACCCTCAAACCGGCATTTGTGAGGGATGGTACGGGGACTGTCACAGCTGCCAACTCATCAACGTTAAATGATGGTGCTAGTGCCTTGGTCCTGGGCAACAAAGCCATTGCCCAGGAATACGGGAGTGGATCCAGAGTCCTTGCCCGAATCTGCGGTTCAGCAGATGCAGCGATAGATCCAGTTGATTTCCCAATCGCGCCTTCAAAAGCAGTGCCTCTCGCATTAGAGCGAGCAGGGATCAAGCAGGAAGATGTCGCGATTTGGGAATTTAATGAAGCTTTCGCTGCAGTCATTGCAGCCAATGAACAGGTAACTAAACCCCCCTCTTCCCACCACTTTTCCCTAAAATGCCCGCTAACATAAACACAACCCCCAGCTCCTCGGCTTAAAAGGCGCAACCATAAACCCCCTCGGCGGAGCCATATCCCTCGGCCACGCACTAGGAAGCTCCGGATCGAGGATCTTGACTACGCTGTTGCATCAGTTGAAGGTGGGCGAGTATGGTGTTGCGGCTATCTGTAATGGTGGTGGGGCTGCTACTGCGATTGTGGTGCAGCGGATTGAGAGTGTATGATAGATATGATAAAGTAAAATAAGATGAATAAATGAATACTGGTATTCGTACTACTGGCTTGGAATGAAATGAAATGAGATTTATGAAAGAAAGAATGGATGAATGGACTCTCTGAGATGTTGCGTGAAAAGGGGGTGGGGGAAGCGTTGGAATACATTTGACGGGTTAAACAGAGGTTGAAATATACATATTATAATCATATTGCGATACTATCCATCCTATCCTAACAATTTGACTCATATCACCCACCTCCACCTCTTCTCCATAAATACCGCCCTGTAGTACTGATACCTCTCATCTCCTCAAATACACATCATCTCTCAAATTATCAATCAAATTATATAGATAATGTCAGGACCAGCCTTTCCCATCCCCTGTTTCCCCTTCCGCCAATTTCTCCTTTCTTCCCAACTTCCCCTAAAACAACAAACAAGCATCCAAACAACAACAACACGCCAGACTCCCCAACAGCGCCCCCATAAACCCATCACTCGCACCCCCGTTCCGCCGCTGATCTACATACTGTCCCTGCGGCTGTCCATAATAATACCCCGCTCCTTGCGGGGGCCCGTATCCCGGCTGTGGACCGTAGCCTTGCTGTGGCCCATTATAGTATCCGCCTTGCTGTGCATGTGCGTAGGGTCCTTGTTGCGCATAGCCCATTTGCGGACCTGGTGCGTAGTAGCCTTGAGGCTGTTGTGGGGGGTAGTTGGGGTTTTGAGGGTAAGCGTTGTTTTGCGGTGG